ACTTTTCGCCCCTCTCTGCCGTCTTTGCAATCTTTCTGTGTGAGACCTTTCTGCAATTCTCAGCCTCATCTCCATTTGTTGCCTTGGGCACGAGTACGTAAAACACTCAAACCAGGACGGGCACTGAAGCTTGGTGCCTCTTGCATTTGCAGGACATCTGAGTCACCTCTGTTTCGTGTGCTTCAAGGACGAATGTAATTTGGATCTACCACAAGCCCGGGTCAAACTAACTTCCCTGGCCCTGCTCTTGTCGCCCAAACCCCTGGGATCCGTCGTCAACGAACATGTGCTCAAATACATGGAACATGTGAGCAAAAAAAAAACAACATTGACCACATTGTCTGCTTCAAGAATGTGGTCTGTAGACTTTAGACCCTTAAAGTGGATGATGATAGGAACCTTCCCCTCCAACCACTTCTTCCAAATCCTGCTGGGTAGTACAGCTTTACACCTCCCAAGCAGCGCCTTTCCGGATCACGTCTTTCAGCTGAGGCTCAACTCTGCTTGCTCACAGGCCAATCTTGCCACGGCGCCAGTGGCGGCGGAACTTGTTGTAGCGAATCTTGGTGCCCGTCTTCAGCCGGAACCACTGTGGCAAAGGTCCTGAGTGAGGCACATGCGCAATTCCAGGAGAACAACTGAGAGAGTGAGATTACAATAATTGTTTGGAAAAAGCAAAAAGAACTGCGGCGTCAGGGTCGTGCTAACAATTTGCTTTGGATGCTCGGATACTGTTCAAAACAAGAATGGCTTCGCCCCTCTGATAGCTTCATTACTGGCCCATACTCTTCAACCTTCAGGGGATGATGCCACCGCCAGAAATTTTTTTGCCACGGGTCGGTTTTGCTTGATCTTCTTTGCCAGCTTCATCTTCAAGGTAAAGGTCTTAACCGCTCCCATCCTGGCAACTAGGCTTGCGGCACTACTACGGGGAAGCTGCCTTTGATCCCAATATGGCCGCGGTGGCGATGCTCAACATAGACCTGGGAGCCGAAGAGCCCAAGCAACCATCAGTTCAAACGAGTTCAAAGGCGTCATCGGATCAGAACCACTGTGAAGTTGTGCAATCTCTTCTCACTCAGCCTTTTTTTGGACCCCGCGCTGCGTTCCTTCGCCTTGCGACCCTGGTGAGACCTCTGTGCTTCGCCGCATCTGGGCCTTGGGCGAAGTTGAAAAGTAGCTTTAAGTAGATGTCAGATGGATGGCTGAGCATTTATCCCTGTCTGATTGAACTAAGGAGATGGAGTTACAGTTGTATTCATTTATTCAATTTATTATGTAATTTGTTAATTACTTTGTGCTGAACTTGAATGGCGGAGTTCCACGCTATTTCAGAAATGTTGTGATTCATGGCACATGGCTTCAGCTTGGTCTGGCCTCTCTCCGAAAATCCAAAAATATGGTATGGAATCTTCACTAGCTTAGAACCGCGGAATGCTAACTTCCAAGAAAGAAGATACTTCCTCCCAAGCAGCGCCTTTCCGGATCACGTCTTTCAGCTGAGGCTCAACTCTGCTTGCTCACAGGCCAATCTTGCCACGGCGCCAGTGGCGGCGGAACTTGTTGTAGCGAATCTTGGTGCCCGTCTTCAGCCGGAACCACTGTGGCAAAGGTCCTGAGTGAGGCACATGCGCAATTCCAGGAGAACAACTGAGAGAGTGAGATTACAATAATTGTTTGGAAAAAGCAAAAGAACTGCGGCGTCAGGGTCGTGCTAACAATTTGCTTTGGATGCTCGGATACTGTTCAAAACAAGAATGGCTTCGCCCCTCTGATAGCCTCATTACTGGCCCATACTCTTCAACCTTCAGGGGATGATGCCACCGCCATAATTTTTTTTGCCACGGGTCGGTTTTGCTTGATCTTCTTTGCCAGCTTCATCTTCAAGGTAAAGGTCTTAACCGCTCCCATCCTGGCAACTAGGCTTGCGGCACTACTACGGGGAAGCTGCCTTTGATCCCAATATGGCCGCGGTGGCAGGAGGTTCCTTTGGGTTTGTTGGTCGGGTGGTAGGTCCAATGAACGAACTCATGTATTTCCCTTTGTGCACTTGAGGTTTTTGCCGCCGGTGTTTGAGAGAATGCATCCAGCATCATCCTGCAATCCTGCCTTCCACGGAATGCACCAATGCACCAACGAGGGAACGGGTTGCCACAGCTGTCCCTCCGGAATCACAGACAACCCTCCAAGGCCATCAACCCACTTCATCCAGGTTATCAACCCAAAGACTCAATGCCGCTGTGCCACTGTGTAGGCTGGCTCCCAGGTCTTTGTATCGACCTCTGAACCTCGGGTTACGGTTTTAACCGTCCTCACAGCCGTTGGAGCCGGTCGAGGTCGAAGTGTCTCAAAGGTGGCACAACCAAGAACCAGCAAACGACAAAATCCACTGGCCGAGGAGTTGTCGAAATATCCCATGACTGGGCCACATGGAGGTGGACGGGTGGGTTCTATGGGAACCACACATCCATCTATACCTCTCCAGCTTTCCATCTCCACGGCTATTCAAAGTTGTTGTCAGCACCCTGGGTCAGCTTCTGGCTTGGCCCCCACACGTGGCCCACGGCCAGAACCTGGACGGTCCGAACCCCAATCCGGAGCGTCGACAACCCCGACCGTTGAGTCGAAGATTCAAAGGGTAAGTTGATGGATCGTGGTACTAAGTACTAAGCTGGTTTGACAGGGGATTGGTGAGGGTTCCCGTGCGTCAGTGGATGATAAGTGAAGGCATCTTTACGTGAAACGGTCGGTGGCAAATGATGGTACAAGTAGGTTTGTTAACTTGCAGGGGGCATGCGGCCATCATGCAAACGCATGCCAACGAAGCTATGCGTGATGGTGGAAGCCAGGTCTGATCACCTGGTGTACCTGCAAATTGCTTCGTAACCACGCTCCCCTTCTAGAGTCTTGGAGGCTGCTTCAGGTTTGGTGAGGTTGTGATGCAGTAAAGTGCTAACGAGCTCTGCAGTCATGCACTCGTCGATCGAGCCTTTTGAGTCTTCGAAACTAGGCATTGGTTGGAAGCCCTGACTTCTTTGAGTTTTGAGACTTGCACGTCATGGTCAGACCATCTTACTGATTTCTTAGGTGTTTCACTTAGGCAGGCAGGCGTGTGGCAAACCCCAATTTGTTCTGTACGAATTATCCTGAGTGTGTGTGTGTGTGTGTGTGCCCAATGTGCTAGGGATACAGCCTAGCTCCTCATCTACCAAAACCAAAACCAACTGGTCGCAGTGTTCAAGTTCAGATTACTACGCAATTGACGTCATCTGCCAAGCATAAGCTTCTCCCGATGGAAGATGTAAGATGACTGAGGTCTCCAGCGCACCAAATGAGAGCCTCGGATGAATCCCGCATCCAGAGGCACCAAAGCAAGCTCCTGTCGGAATCAACCCCGTCGAAGGAGCGATCCAAAACCATCCAAAACGGTCCAAAAAAAGCATAACTAGCGGAACAAAACAAGATATCTAACATTATCTAACCGCCACCAACACGTGGATGTGGCACATCCCAAGTGAGCGTCCATGTGTGTGTGTGTGTGTCCACATCTTACATCCATGCCATGCTGCAAGGGTGGTTGGGGAAGCCCTGTTCTGCTCAGTGAAGCCTCGTCCCACACTTTTGCGGAATCACCCGAAATCCAATGTCTCCTTGTAGCAAGGCATGTCCTGGACGCGGGCAATATTGGTGCTTGGGGATCCTGTTACTCAGGTAATCCAAGGTGACTGAAGCCTGCAAAGTCCTCCCAGTCTAGGGCAGGCAAGCAACTTGGATTCACTAAAAGGTCTGACATGTTCTGGGAGATCTGCTTCAGTTTTCTTGGTTTGAATGTTTGTTTATTACTCTTTAGCCTGCTCTTACTTAATTAAGTAGGCACCGATTTAATCAAGTAAGGGAGTAAGCTCCTAGCTACTTATATAAGTTTCTAGTAACTGGACGCAGGATAGCTCACGCTCGCACCACCGATTTGTTTCCTGAATTTTTACAGAAACTTAACCCTCATTTTCAGTTTCAGTCTGTTTGCCTTCAGATGGATCTTGCCTTCACAGGTCTATGTGTCGCCTTCATTTGTCCCCCACCTCCGGCACAGCGTGCGTGGGCGACTCTAGGGCGATACTGCGGTGCTTCTCCTATCTGGTGCAACCAGCTTTGGGAACCTGTGGGTGCATCAGCGCGGCCAACGAGCCAGCATACTACAACTCAACCAGTCAAATTCTCTGATGTGTGCTCTCTTCCTACTCTTGTCATATACTTGTAGGCTTGAATCTCTGAGCCAACAAGCAGGGCATGATAAAGCATGTCTCAAAAGCCTTGTCTATCCTCTCTCACCAAAATCAACCCCTGTCGCCGCCAGTCGCCCCAGTTTTCTCACCTCGCATGGGCGGTCGCACTCGAATTAGGCCTTCCAGGCAAGCCCAAGGCAGCGCGATGTTCTCACCAACTTGGATATCAGTGTTTGGTTGTGAGGTTGTCCGCCTCCGACAACAGCTCTTTTGCAGATTTGAGGGACATGGTCCACTGGGTATTTGCAGCTGTTGGGTCGGGATGTGAGAAGGTGTTTTTTTTTTAATGGATGTAAGATTCGGACCCCCAACCAGTGGCGGTCGGTTCATGTCGGTTCTACGTTTGGGGGTTGTGGGTCAAACCCAATCCTATGAGCCGGCTGAACGCAAAAAGACAGAGCTCTTTGGAAGTCGCGACTCGCCCAAGTCTCCTGGAGAAGCTCTTCTTACAAGGCCTGGATCAATGCCCCATAGCTCAAAACTCCCCATCCTGAGATCTTCAAATTGCTGTTCCCTTGTTCCTCGACTTGGGACAATGAGTGCACCTGGAACCGGTGCCAACGGCTGATCCAGCTTCTCGGGAACTGGCGAATTGGCATGGCCACATGTCCACCCTCTCTCTCCATTCGTGGGGCCATCGGTGTTCCGGTTGGGTTTTCGATGACATGTGGCCAACTAGAATAATCTCAGATTCCAAAACATTTCAAGCACTGCGAATCATTGCAAGGTGCAAGCACTACTCCCCTCATCGTCCGACTCGTCCACGGACATCGACTGGCGAGGTTTCATCCCGGAAACATCCGATTGGCCAGGCAAAGCCACCTTGAATCTTGAAAGGGCAAACAGCATCGTGGGAGGAACGCCACACACGTCATGAAGGATACAAACTGGACATGAGTCGTGCAACGCAGGTCCCCTTTGCTGCTCATCCAGCATGTGCTTTCCATAAGTCCAGGTATCCCTGCAGCAGAACCCCAAACCACTTCAAGAACCTGGCAACCAAACTCCCCAAACTGTCTTCCGCCGAGATTCCAGCCATTCAAATCTTCCCTAGCCTTTCCATTGACTTCCCTACTAGGTTTTTGACCAGATGACGCGCCATCGGATCAAGTTCAGGGCTCCCAGCAGAGGAACGGAAGCGGTCACCTGAAGTTCGCACCCCAAAGAGTTCGATGCGTCCTCTTCTTCAGGTGCAGTTGTAGGTACCAGGCAGGGTAAGCTTTAGGCAATTTGAAGCGTGAGTTGGCCACCTCCAGCCAACTAGGGCAGAGCTCACAAACATTCAAAAACACTCGACTACAAGACTCAAGCTGATGATGAGGGAGGGGTAGGGTAAGGAGAACAAGGTGGGGATCACTGGATCACCACCAGTTGAGCAAGTCAAAGCATCCATTGCTGAAAGCATCTCACCCGGCCTCTCTCATTGCTGATGTCCAGTTCGTGTTCACTGCCGCTGTCCTGCAGAGTGCGATTATGTCCTATAAACTGCAAAGCATGTCACACCAAAAAATAGGGGAACGTCGACATGTCATGAAACCAAACCCAACATCACCCAACCATCTTTCAAAGACATTTAAAGGTCTAACTGCCTGTGATCATAGCATTTGTTGCCCTTCCTTCAGCGGCTGCCCTTTGCTGCCCAAATTAGAGAGGTTCTCCATAAACCCCTCAAAGTCTCCCAGTCCCCAGCTGCTAAGGACTCATAAGGACTTATATCATAAAGCTAAGAAATACCAACAATGTTCAAACATTCGTGCTGCATGCACAGTGGATGTCTTCGTTGGTTCAAGGGACTCAGCAAACACTGCGGTGCGGCGGCCCTGCCTCGCCCATGCGGCAGGTTCGGCAGGTGTTCTGACAGTGGCTGTTGGCAGGACGGGTGGTCCCAGGAGGGAGGATGGGAGGTCTTGACAGATATACTGATATACTAGTAGCTTCTTGTCTGTGATATTCCTCTAACAGCTACAGCTAAAGCCTCGGTCTGTGGTCAGGCAATGTGAAAGAATTTGTCATCTTTCCGGAAGTCCCTAAACCCAAGACACTCAAAGCTCACAAGT